TTGAACCGCAAAGACCATGCATCATGCTTTGTTGAATAGTTGCATAAGCCAATAGATGAAGAGTTTGATCTAGAAGTTTGGCTGATACAATACTGTCAAAATCTTCAACAGCTTTCGGTTTACTTCTGAATCTAAAATTAAAAGAATATATGAATAAAAAAACCCTGTTTTTGAAATTATATTATATAAACATAAGCTATAACGACTTCAAAAACACTATGTTTGATAATATCATCTAATAAGGCTTTTAATTTCATATTAAAAACCCTAGCCGTAAGGTCTGGATGATCGGATGCAGCTTGATTATTTAGAAGTTTAGCAGTAATTTCAGGCCAAGTTGGGTTGCAAGTAAAAGTAATAAAGAAGTCAGGTTTGCCGAACAAACGTATAATGACCATTGCGTCTTGATATAATTGATGTATTTGATATGGGCCACCGGTAAAACTTGAAGAAAGAATTATTTGCCTGCCTATATTTGATGCTATTAAATGTTGTAATAACTCATCTTGTGATAACAAAGAATTTTGAATTCCACTATAAAGTTCGAATCAAATTTGTTTTTAATTGAATTTTAAATAATTAAGATGATTTTGTTCTATATTTGCATATGCATTAACTACGTACTGTTGAAACAGACATCCAGCAAGATGAAGATGTGTTTCTTCTTCAGGTTTACCCACTTGTAGTCGATAGATGTAATATTGCATCATAGTAACATATTTTTGAGACTTGATATTGCTTTCATTGTTTAATTCATCACTGATATTGTCTATTGCTTAATATTCATTAGAGGGTAAAAAAGAAGATTGTGTTGTATCACAGACTAGAATTTTCGGATGCTATCCATTTTCGCCTCTGGGAAAAAGAAGAACATAATGTAATAAGGCATAAGCTTTGTATAGCTTAGATATACATTGAAATCCGTTAGTATGAGAACATAATATAATATCTTGATTGCATATACTATTATTGTTAGTTGTATCATCGATTATAATAGCTGCAACTTCAGAAGTGGTAGGAACATTATAATGATGTGAATCTGTCAATCTCGAATCTTTAATCACCATAGTTAAACTTTGAGAAGGATTTTGCCGTAATATTCTACCTGTTTGTTGAAAACTTGTACATATGGATTATAAGCATGAAGCATATTTTGAAGATTACTTAAGGTTACCTCACTTAGCAAAAGCATAATATTCTGTCTATTTTGAAGCTTATTATTACTATCATAAATGTATAATTGAGCAAAAGAAAAGACAGATGATTGAGGAAGAAGAGACTCAATCCTATGATATATTTCTCTATATATACAAAAAGTATAAAGACTTCTTGTTTCAGTAATTCGTTTATCAATTTTTGCACCCATAGAAGTAAAAGCTAACGCAGAATTATATACCCAGATATTTTGACAAAATTCACGTGATTGTGTATTATTGCCTATTAAATAAGTTTTAAGCAATGGTGGTAGTTCTTGAAATAATAGTAATATAACTTTTCATTGTACACAGCAGTCACTAAATTTAGCCGAACATTTTGATGACTCTGAGCATCATTCATTTATCTATTTTAACGTATCGCATAAACTACATGAAATATTCATTTTTCTAATATCATAATGATTTAGTTTAGCTGAGTTAAAAGGATATACACACGCCTTGAACACATTAATACTTCTTATATTCAAGTTAAAGGTAGAAGCACTGCTAGTTGAAGGCAAAATATCAGAATGAAGATTATCTTGAGAAGTCAAAATATCAGGATGAGGATTATCTTGAGAAGTCAAAATATCGAGATAAGGATTATCTTGAGAAGGCAAAATATCGAGATAGGATTATTCTGAGAAGGCAAACCTACAGATTGTTCTTGTAATATAACAGGCAGAAGACAATTAATATTAGTATTAGTATTAGACAAAAAATCAGATAAAATATGATTAGTATTGTTAGTTATTTGGTGGTAAAAAAAGCAAAGAAAGTGCAAAAGTTGTAGAGCTAGCTTCTTGTACAATATTTCGGGCTTTTGATTCTCTATGTTGATGTTTTTGTCTTTCTTTTTGTTTATCAGTCTGGTTAGCAGATTGCCGTGCAGCAGATTCTCTTTTCAGACAAAGCCTTCATTCAGTTGAAGTTTCCATTATTATAAAAAGTACAATTTAATATATATTTAACTCAAGTTTTAAAAAAAAAGTTAGAGTTGAATATGTGCAGTAGACTAATTATATTTGATATGATAATATATGAATAATGTTGAAATATTATACGAAAATGTATATCGTGAGCGATTACATACAACAACATGATACAAACCTGTGCCTACTATAATATGATTAAAATACAATTACACGAAATATATCTCTACTAATGAAATCTATTACACGAATATGCAATATCTGTTTATTTTGCATAACTCCAATTATTTTAATATAGTAATAGATTTTTAAAATATTATATTTTTCTTGAAAACTATATGTTGTATTTTAGACCTAAAAAGTGTTTATATTAAATTAAACAATCAATTAAAATAAAGTAGTGCTTTAATAAAACAATAAAGTATTATAAAACTATATTAAGTTTAAACTTATTAGTAATTTACTAAGTACAAGAGCAATTTGTAGCCATAATAGATATGCATTAATCTATTATCTAGTTTAAATTTTGAAATTAGTATATTTTAGGAAATAGGCTTACAAAATTTGTATTTTTTCTTGAAATAATATAAAATTTTTAATTTATCAAAATTGAAATATTAATAGAATAATTTATCTTTATATTAGAAGTGGTTATTAATATAAAACTAGAAAGATAGTTCTAGATAAATCTGGGTTTACATATTTATTATAGACCTAATTGTAATTTTAAAAATCATTTATATATAGTATTCATACTAAATTTATAAATCTTTAGATCTAATACATAATAATCATATGGGCTAAGTGTTGCAAAAAAGAGGAAAATCAACAAAAAAAAGATTTTCAGAAAATTAATTTTTTTTTTTTAGTGTTAAGGTGAGGTTTTGCCTCGTATCTTTATTAAATATATCAAGTATTTGCCTTATATGGCTACATATAATCTTAAGAATACAGGCTTAAGAAAATTAATTTTTTTTTTTTTTTTTTTTTTTAATGTATTTCTTTTTTTCTTTTTTGATTTTTTTTTTAGTTTTTTTTTCAATTAATTTTTTTTTTTTTCTTTTTTTTTAATGTCTACCCTCTTGGAAGCTAGGATTTTTATTCAAGTATATTTAGCAGAGGGTTCTCTTAAGGAACCCTTATATTAGAGAGTACATACTAGCCATACGTACACTTTTGGTGTCTATTTTAAGTAGTCCGCCTGTATATTATACAGGTTCCACACTAGATGCCGTATCTGTAACCCAACTACAGGTGTTACCCATTTAACCTCTTTGTAATGTAGCTAAACCTGTATCACCAGGATATCTCCATTACATTCATCAGTCAAGAAGTCCTGGATGCTTTATCTCTGTTATTCTTAGAACTAATTTATCTTTGAGGGATCGATACTAGAGCAGTCTGAACCCACAATCTGGATTCACCTAGATTCAGTAACTTTACACTGAGTCCGAGGACAAGTACTTGCGAGCATGAAGCCACTACTAGTTACCTACTATCTCCTTGTAGAGTTCACCCAAACTTCAGTATCCACTTTATAGACTCTCAACCGTATTTTCGACTATCTCAAACTACTAATCCAGATAGCCCGAAAGGTGTTTACTCTCTGGTATTTGCAACTAAGCAGATCTTTTTCTTCCGGTTCTGACGAACTCGGTTTTGACAGCCTGGTTGGTGGAGTGCCTTGCTATACACTGGTCCTGTTCGGTTTTGCCGGTTATCCGGTAATAATCTTTTACGTAGTATCATTGAAGATCTGTGCTATCTTTCTACTCAGGTCTTGCCAAGCAATGTCCATCTTTCTGGTTCCTTGGGTTTACAACGATCTGAAACTTTTTTCGTATAACTCATACATCACACGAGTGCTCCATGATCTCACAATCTTGTTGGTACTACCAAGATTACAAAAATCCCATTCCAACCAATTGTCAAAAGACAGTAGCTATCGTATAGATAGAATATTCGAAATTCATCACCAGTGTGTTTCGAACCTCCTACCTATTTAACATATCGCTTGGGTGCGACAACTTAACCACTTTACTAAGTCACCACACCCTTAGAAAATTAACTTTTATATTATAAATTTGATAATAAATCATAAGAAAATTACAAATTTTAAAAAGCTATACTGCAAAATTTTATTAATACAACCACTTTTGTGTCTTAAATAAAAAATAATCTCAATCTTATTTTAAATTAATTTATACAAAAAAATTAATTTTAAAAAAATTTGTCAATTTTCTTCCTTTTTGTAGCATCTAGCCTATATAAATTTATTATTATTAATTAAACAATCTATATTGTTACACTACGAGTTTATAATGTTGTATAAATAGTTTGTAGAATAGTATTTCATATTATATATTTTATATATTTTATATTTTATATTTTGTATTAGTTAAATTATATTATTATTTAAATATATTTTATTAGAATAGAATAGTTAGAAGTGTATACTACTATATACCATATACTACTGTATGCTGTATACCAGTATATACCGTATGCTAGTATATGTCATCCACCACATGGTTGTATGCCAGTGTATGCCAGCGTATGCCACTTGGTATGTGCTAGTATATGCCACTTCAACAGATATATAAAGTAAGGTTTTTCGCTTTAGTTTCTACAGATATCTTCTCTACAATTCCTACCTTCTCTTGGATATTGGATTGGCCATCTAATATCTGTACTTTTCTCTTGTAACGTGAATTGTATTACCTGTACTCCTTGTATTACTTGTACTATCTGTGTAACTTATTTGTATAACCTTATTGTTAAAATAAACTATTCTATATTTGTCAATATTGTCTTATATTTTGAGTACCACTATAATATTTTGGTGCCTCCTGGCGGAAACACAAAATTAGTGATGGGTATTACAGTACTAAGGAAACCCTTCTTATTAAAATCTTTAATTTAAAAACAGTAAACTAGTGTAATTTCTGGACGTAACATTCCCAGCCATGTATAATCTCTGAATATAACATTCCTAGCCATGTGTAATCTCTGGACATAATATTCCTAGCCGTGTGTAATCTCTGTATGTAACATTCCTAGCTATGTGTAATCTCTGAATGTAACATTCCTAGCCATGTGTAATTTTTGAACGTAACATTCCTAGCCATATGTAATTTTGGGACGTAATATTCCAAGCCATGTAGATTCTGAATAGGATTTTGTTTTATATTACTAACAAATTCTGAATGAAACAGTTAATTAGATTCCAGCATTTGGTTCTGAAAAAAGAATCAGAATAAAATATAGTATATAACTACTGTACTGAGTTTCACAATAATCAAATAGCCTTACATGAACAAGCCCATTAACAAACTATTTCATTACCTTATCCAAATTTACAACTCAATTATTCAGATTTATCTTGCTCTATTTGTTTTTCTCTTGGACGATATAGTTCGAACGGACAGTTTGATTAGTTTGTTAAGTGGTATTATACTATTGCCCTATTACAATCTTGTAGCTTATCTACCTGTAATCAACTACATACTTTAAAGCATACTACAAGATATACTATCGCTCGCCGAGCTGCTCAAGATATAATATTTAGCTGTTATTATTATAGTAAAATTCCTGACCCCAAATTTTTAATACTTTACTTATTACAAAGATATACCACCTTTACACATTATTCACCTTTAGGAATATATTTTGCTAACCACTATGACTTATATATTGATACTGACTACCAAGTAGAGGATTTAATTAATCCATCTGAAGAGTTAGAACTACTTGAAACTTCGTATATTTCTAATAGTAACCTTCAATTAACCCAATATTCTGACCCTACCAATATTACTTACTTAGAAGATAGCTCTTTTAGTGAAGAATCTATATCATATCAATTACTTATTAGTACTTCTCCACCTGAATCTGTAATTTTAAATCCTAATTTTAGTACACCCTGTGAATCATTTGGTTTTGAAACAGATCAAATTCTTGATCAAATTGATATTGAAGCAAACCCTACTGTACCTATAAATCCTGAACTAATGGCTGAAGCTGATGCTTTACGGGATGCTGCTGCTACTATGCAAGCTTTAGCTACTGCACTAGGACAAGAAGGTAAAAAGACTTTAATAACTTTGAAATACTTTGAAAGAGATGGGTCCTAAGATCCTGTTAAATGGATAAAAGAATTTGAACGTGTGGCTATTGCTAATAGATGGAATGCAGACAGACAATTGGAGCTTGCCCCTGCATATCTTAAAGGTATTGCTCAAGAATGATACCAATCCTTAAATGATACCCAAACTGCTAACTTTTTTAGAACTGATAATGCTCAAGCTCGTAGTTTTTACCATATGTTTAAAACACACTTCTCTACTTCTACTTAACAAGCTGCCTGACAAAAACAACTCTTTGATATTCAGCAAGAAACAAATTCTGTTGATGCCTATATTAATCAGTTTAAAAAACTTTGTAATCGAATTGATTCTAATGAAGAATTCCCAGAAGATTTTATTAAACAACTTTTTATACAAGGTCTTCAACCTGACTTGGTTGTCTATGTATAAGCATCTAATTCTGCAAATGTAAATGCTACAATCGAAACAGCCAGAAGATGGAAAACTGAAAAAATATTAGCTTCTGGATCTACTAGTAAAGTAGAAAACATGATCCAAGATTTAACTGATAGTCTTAAAAACATGAGTCTTAATTTGGTCCAATAAAATAACAAAAAGAAAGCTTATACTGTTGAAAGCGGTTATAATTTAACCAATCAGAATCAAGAAAAAAATAGAAGCATGGATTCAACTATTCATTGTTTTCGATATAATAATTTAGAACATATTGCTATACACTGTCAACTCAACAAAGAAAGAAATCGTTTAAACTGAAATAGAGATTTTAGAAAAAGATCCAGATCAGAACCTTGGAATTATAGAAGAAATCTATCTAGAAGTCAAGAAAGGTACAGAAGAAATACTCAAGATTATAATTGATATGATAGAAGCAGATCTAGAGATTATAATCGATATGATAGAAGCAGGTCTAGAAGTCAGTCTAGAAACCAGGAAGTCTGTTATAGATCTCCTATTCGTCAGTATATCAACTTAGCAGATAATAAAGAAACTACCTCTACCAATCATTAGGATACTCTTTTAAATAATACTAGTATTAGAGAAGCTTTAGCAAATTACCTACAAAGTGACTCCAATATTGTAAATCTGATGTACTCTAATAGGCCACGAACTATTCCTGTGAAGAATCAAACAACTATTCGTAATAAACTATTTACAGCTATTATTGATAGTAGAGTTGCTATTAGTATGATTACCTAACAAGCTGCTAAAGAAATTGGATTAGAAATAGATACCCTTCTAATAGTTTAATTTCATCTGTGCTTGGAAAACAAGTTAGACTTTTAGATGTTATTAAAGATGTTTCTGTAGAAATTGCAGGAATTACTATTTCTATTTTCATAGAAGTTGTATTAGCAACTACTTACTCTCTTATTTTGAAAAATGATTGGTCTCGCAAAGTAGAAGCTTAATATAATTGGAAAACTAAGGAATATATTATACATTGGGACAGTTATCGTATTATTATATCTACCACCTATGAGTATAACCAGGCTGTAAAAGAACAATCTATAGTCAGTAAAGTAAATGATGGCTAGAAAGAAGAATATGAAGATGAGGAATTGATTTTTCATGAAGCCTATACCTTAAAAGCAGAATCTAACAATATAGAAGATTCGGGATAAACTATATATCAACGGCAAACAAAAAATCTGTACTAGGTTTTGTCGATCATGTGGCACAGCAAAATTTTTTAAAGTTCATTAATGTTAAGGTTAGCATTTAGAACAAGGTTAGAGGTTAGGTGGTTATACAGTAAAATTGCTTAAGAAAAACTTTTTGTTAAAACACAAAGTGTAGTTTTTTATGCAGATTTTGAGAAATAAGCGATTTTTAACAAAACGAACTAAATTTTCTGATCGTGTTATGTTACACCTGATTCTTGAAAACTGATTTGTGGATCATGAGATCTGTGCAACATGATCGACAAAACCTGGTACAGATTTTTTGTTTGCATATCAACGAAAACCAAAAATCTCTCGCAAGAAAACCAGGAATATCGAACTTGTGGACAAACTGATTACTACTTTGAAGATTGCTAATATAATAAATATTGGTGATGTGATGAGTATAGACATATTGCTGTTAAATGTCCTTACCAAAAACCTAAACATACTACCTATGCTAATTGTGGTCAATCTAGTCATCAATTTAAGGATTGTTCAGAAAATGAATGTAGAAAGTGTAATAACAAAGGGTATATTAGTACTAATTGTCCTAGAAGTAAACTTGAACAAGAAAATAAGAAATATTAATGTGGTTGTAATGAAGAGGAAGTTGCTAACCAAAAAGCATATTATCATAGTCAAAAGAGGAAACATCACTGCTATCAATGCAAGTATTCTTAATTTGGTAATGAATTAATGCTACTAGAAGAGACTCTAGTCTGCAAAGCATGCTATAAAGACTATCATGAAAATTTGAATCGAAAAGACTCCAGGTGCTATTATTATTATAAACAAGGATTAGAAAGAGGAACTTTAGTTAAATGCATAGTATGTGAAAAAGAAAGTCCTAAACACAACATGCATAATTTGCTAAATAGAACTTGGTTTTGTAGCTTTAAGCATAAGTATATATACAAAGCTAGTGAAAATATCAAGTATAACCCAAACTATGACTTGTGGACCAGAATTAAACATTATACTGAGTCTAACAAAAGTGCTGGAAGTTGTTATGATATGAATCAAGATAGTATTTACTAGTTAGCCCAAATCTTGCTTGGTATAACATCTCAAAGTGTTGCTCAAGCAGAAGAGAAACAAGAAACAGACAGATTTAATAGAGAGTTTACAAATAAGGAATTAACTCTGTTCTTCTGTGTTAGTGAAATACAATTAACTACCGATGAAAAACAACAACTAAACCAAATTTTAGCTGAGTCTTTTGATCTATCGAATGCTGATTTTGATCATTAACAAGCTATTGCCAACTTGCGTGCTAATTTTAAAGGCAAAGTAGCTCTGTGTTTAGATTGTTTGTTTGCTAAATATATTTCTGAACTAGAGCCCAATCAAGATCTTTGTAACGAATACTATCAGGAGCAAACAAAGCTATTTACTAGTTTACAAAAAAAAAAAGAACCAGAACAAGAGTCTAAACCACAAGATATTATAAATCAGCAAATATAACAAATTTTACAACTTCAAAAGAAAAATAAACGGTTAAGCCAATTACTCTTCTCTTTGTATCAGGACTATATAAAATTAACCCAATGGCAAGAAAAAAGGAATAGACAACAAAACCAATTCTAGATGCAATGCTTTGCCCAACCTGTATCTGCAGAAGAAACAAAATTTTAGAAAGAAAGATTAAATTCTCAGGAAGTCTATACTATTGGACAATTAGAACTAGAAGAGGAGTACTTATTAACTTCAGAAGATCATGTGGAAACAGGTCAACTTACAACTGAACAAGGCAGACAATTTAAGAAATTATTAGATAAATTTGCAAATTTATTTGCCAAGGATATCAATAAACTAGGAAGAACTGATATTGTAAAACATCGAATTTATACTGAAGATGTGCCTTCAATAAAGTTTAGGCCTTACTCTGCTTCTTCAGATAAACAAGCATTTATTGAAAAAGAAATTAAAAGAATGTTAGAAAATAAGTTGATTTGGCATTCTAAAAGCCCTTGAACTTCATCTGTAGTTCTTGTCAAGAAAAAGAATAAGAAATTACGGTTCTGTGTAGACTATAGAAAACTTAATAATGTTACTAAAAAGGATGCTTATTCCCTTTCTCGTATTGATGAAATGCTCAATGCTTTGTCAGGAGCTAAGTGGTTTTCTACTCTAGATCTTACTAGTGGGTACTGGCAAGTAGAAATGGACTCTAGAGATAAGGAAAAGACTGCATTTGTAACTCATTATAACACTTACGAGTTCAATGTTATGCCATTTGGTCTTTGCAATACACCTGCTGCATTTCAAAGACTTATGAATCATGTTTACTAGGATATCAATTGGAAGTTTGTAGTTGTGTACTTGGATGACACTAATATCTTCTCACGAACTTTTGAGAAATATTTGAACCACTTTCGAGTTGTATTTCAAAGGATTAGAAAAGCAGGTTTAGGCTTAATATTAAAAAATACAAGTTTTGGATGACTTTACTACCCTTTCTTGGTTATATTGTAAGTAAAAAAGGAATTGCACCTGACCTCAAAAAGATAAAAGCTGTTCAAAATATTGCTCCACCTACTGAGATTACCAAACTTTGGTTATTCTTAGGACTAGCTGGATATTACTGACAATTTATTAATAACTTTTTAGCTATTGCTAACCCTTTGAATAAATTGCTTCAAAAGAATGAACCTTATGAATAGAAAGCTGAGCAACAAAAAGCTTTTGAGGAACTAAAACAACAGTTAGTCACTACCCCTATTCTTGCATATCCTAATTTTAAAAAAAAGTTTATTCTCGCCATAGACTCTTCATATCAAGGGTTTGGAGCCACCCTTAGTCAAAAGGATAATAAAGGAAAAGAACATCCAATTGCTTATGTCAGCAAAAGTCTTAGAAAAGAGGAACAAAATTATGCCACTACTGAACTTGAATATGCTGGTATTGTGTAGGCTATAGAACACTTTCACAAATATCTTGGAACTTCTGTTTTTACTTTTGTTACAGATTACTCTGCTCTTTAGTGGTTAAAAACAAAAGAACCAAAAGGAAAGTTCGGTCGATGGATCATGAAACTGCAACCTTATAATTTTGAAGTTCTTCACAAACCTGGTTGTATTCACTCTAATGTTGATACTTTATCCAGACTTGAACCTAGAACCAGTAACCTAAACACCACTTCTACATCATAGATTTAAATCTTTATCAATACTTGGTGGACTACTTAGAAACAGGCAAATTACCTTTACATTATACAGAAACAGAAAAGAAGAAATTTTTATCTCATACTAGATATTTTGTACAAAGAATAGACTATTATACAAGAAAACTAGAAAGGACTCAACCAAACTTTTACGTGTAATCAAGTAGAATGAAATTGAACCGGTATTATTAATGATGTATAATCATTCTACTGCTGGACATTTAGGTGTTGATGCAGTATTTGGAAAGTTGATAGAATGATATTATTGGGATGATATGTATAAAGATATTAGAAACTATATCTGAACCTGTGATACTTGTCAACATCGAGAAAAAAATCAGAAAACAGATCGATTGTATTTTATTCAAGTAGGAAAAGCTTTTGAACGAATTGGAATTGATCTGGTTAGATCTCTATCTATCACTTTGCAAAACTATCAATATATTATTGTTGTTACAGAGTATTTAACTAAGTAGCCTAAAGCTAGAGCTGTACCTGGCGCTAGTGCATTTGTATTTGCAAAATTTATCTTTGAGGAAATTATTTGTCAACATGAAGTATCCAAGATTATACTATCTGATCAAGGATTCAACTTTAGAGATGGTTTGATCAAAATCTTGTGAGAATAGTTCTTAATTAAGCATCATTTTTTATCATCATATCATCTACAAACTAATGGACTTGTAGAGCGATTTAATAGAACACTTTGTGAATCTCTTGCTAAAGTTAAAGATTCTGATGATTAGAATACTCATCTAAATGCAGTTCTTTTAGCCTACTATACAAAAAAGCATGATACTACTGGATATACTCCTTTCTAATTACTATATGGAAAGCAGGCTACTCTTCCAATCGAAACTATTCTGTCTATACAAGAAACAGAAACTGATGAAATTGATTTACAAGGAAGTATATTACAACGAGCCTATGAACTTATTGACAAGCTATCTACTGCTTACAAACAAGCTTAACAAAATATTGCCAAGTCACAACAAAAACAAATTGCTTGGCATGCCAAGAAGTTCAAGTATCATGACTTCAAAGTAGAAGATTTGGTTCTTGTTGTATGCTCTGATATTGCTATATCAAGATCGGTAAAGTTCAAAGAAAAATTTAAAGGTCCTTATTATATATATCAGAAATTAGGAAATAGTGCTTATAAACTACGAACTAAAGAACGTGGTCAAGTTCTCAAGCCATATTTTAATAGTCAACGACTGAAATTATACTATGATCGAACCTTATTTGAACCCACAATTATTATAAATTAAAAACAGAATATTAAATTATTAACTTAATAATTTATTCATTAATTTTTATTTATTATTTATTTATTATTTATTATATTATTAGTACAATTTATTATTATTATTATTATTATTATTATTATTATTATTATTATTATTATTATTATTATTATTATTATTATTATTAT